ATATATATATATATACATAAAAAATATTATTTTTTTTAAATTATTATATATATATATATTATTTCTTTATAATTTATTAAATACATGCATTAAATATGAATTACAATCAAAATGATTTTTAACAATATCGATATTTACAAATAATATTCATAATATAATGCCATTATTATTAAAAATTTAAATATATATTAGTATGACAATTTTGATTAAATACTTTGTTTATATATTTGATGTTCAATACTGATATGCAATTGTTATTACAGTCATTAAAAAAGTTATTAAAATATTAATGTAATAAGAATAGAAATATTGATGCAGTATACAACTGCTAGCAAAATTACTTTGGTATACAGTCTAAGCAAAGTTTATCAATTTATGAATAAGTTTTAAATAATAATTTATTATTTACCTGGACACCATATACAGTTGCATCTTTGAGACCTATTACATTACTTATAATGGCTTCTACTTCTGAGGTAGAAACATTTTCACCTCGCCACCTAGTATTTTAATTCCAAAAATAATAATTAGTTAAATTTCTATTTATTTAGTGATTTCATTCTAAAAATATTTACAGTAATTTAGTAATTTTAATTAGGTCTCATTACACATATATTTGTGTACTATATATTCGTGTTAAATGTCAACATACCTGAATGTATCGCCTGTTCTATCCTTAAAGTAAAAGTATCCAAGTTCATCCATAACTAAAATATCACCTGTTCAGAAAATTTAATTAAATTATAACATATAACTTCTGATAAGTTATATAAAAATCATAGATCATTGTATTTTATTTTTTATTACTGACCAGAATTAAAGACACGATCACCCTTTTTGAAGACATTATGTATAATCTTTTGCTCTGAAGCCTTTTTATCCGCGTAACCACTAAAGTCGTTGATTGCTTTCTTCGGATTGATTTTGCCCACAAAAATGCCGGCTTCGCCTAAACAAATAAAAATAATATAAGTATATATTTTTTGTCTAACTTATCTACATGTTTAATTAAAGAATATTATCTACAAATTTATTATTATTTATTATTATTATTATTATTATTTATTATTTATTATTATTTTTAATTATTTCTCTATAAATAACAGAATTAAATATAAATAATATGATATTTCATTATATTATAAATAATTTTATTGTAATTATCATTTATAGCAGATAAAACTAAATTTGTTACATTGTTACATTAATGCAAAACAAAAAAGAAATCTTTTCCTAAAATATTTAAATCTAGAAGTTATCATGTTTTTACCAGGTTTACAGGGTATGCACAATCCATCTGATCCCCTCAACAATTCTCCTGTTTCTTCATCAATCTTCAGGAGTGCAACGGGATACAAACGACTAGCATATCTTGGTATAAAACCAACAGCACCGATTTTACTGTCTATATTCACTAAAATTATATTAAAAAATCATATAGATATTTCTAAAAATAACTACATACTCGATAATTATAAAATGAATTTAAAATTATAAATTAAACTATAGTTATGTTTAATGAAAATATTCTTCATTCTTATGAGACTTTATGTATTTATTTATTAAAAAATTTAAACATGCCAGAAATAAAATTCTTATAAAAATAAATATATTATTTATATTCACAAGAGGATTTATTATTTATCACCATAATTTATCGTATTAAGATAAATGAATATGATAGCAAAACCTTTTAAGATTAACTGAAAGTATGAATAAGACAATTACCGAGATTTGAGTTTCCTTCGGTAGCTCCATAAAATTCGCCTATTTGATTCACACCAAATCTTTTCACAAAAGATTCCCAAATTTGTGGCCTCAGACCATTTCCAAACATTAAACGAACTTTATGCATTCTATCGTATTTGCTTGGTGGAACTGTAAGGAGAAAACGGCAGATCTCTCCAATATATTGCGCTATCTAAAATAAAAGTATAATTTGTTATTTATAACATAAATTGAAGAATTCATTAATGTAGAAGTTTAATAAAAGGCTAGTAATTATTGCATTTCTGGTTTAATAATAATTAATATAAATGAATAGAATAGAAATATAAAATTTGTAAATTTACAAAAAATAGTTTTCAATTTTAATTATAATATTGGCTGCATTCAAATTTTTGATCATATAAAGCTAAAGCAATTACAATAAGTATAATCCATTTGAGATTTTATGATGTAGCTTATAATAAGAGAAAAATAATTTCTTATGAGACTTTATTTATTTATTTATTAAAAAATTTAAACATGCCAGAAATAAAATTCTTATAAAAATAAACATATTATTTATATTCACAAGAGGATTTATTATTTATCACCATAATTTATCGTATTAAGATAAATTCATTTATGAATGAATATGATAGCAAAATCTTTTAAGATTAACTGAAAATATGAATAAGACAATGAAAAAATATCTCAGACATTCTTTTATTTAAATGAAATTTCGATTCATGTGAAATAAATAAATAAATAAATAAATAAATAAATAAATAAAATAAGATCTTTGATTCAAAGAATTTTGTCATACAGAAAAGTTAGCCTTAGATTTTTTTCACACTACAAATGTGTTATTTTAACTTAAGTTTTTTTACACTTTTCTTATACTTTTTTATATTATAAATTACTATCATAAATTAGTCTTTATTTAACATGATTAAATACATCTTAACACAAGTTAATTAGATTTTTTAAACGACGTAATTAATTAGAGCGTTACGCAAAGCTTATGCTAAACATCACGATATATTTTCCTTTTTGCTTGCTTTATGCTGCGATGTTTCAACTTCTACGCTACATTTTTTTAAATATCTTTTCTCAAAAAATATTATTGCAAAGAATTGTGATAATTATTTATTTGATAAATTCTTTCAGTCCAATATACAAGCTTATTAACATGCTGTTAATGATTAAAAGAAAATTTAAAAATAATGATTAAAAATGACAAGAAATGATAGCTTTATTTTATTTTTAATTTTTTATACTACATATAAAAAAAGTATTGAGAAATAAAAATATATACTAAAAATAGCATTTCTGATTAGCAATAATTAGTAATAATTTATGTATGTGTGATTATTGATTTAAACTATAAAACGGAAAATAGAATTTATAATACTCTGAATGACTAATAAATAATTTAAAGAAAATTATTTTTTAAAAATTTATATAAACTTTGGTTAGTCAGTAATTAATTTTAAGAAATTTTTTTACTATTATTTAAACAAAAATAATTATCATAAATAAAAATACTTTATGAGAACTAACCATATCTCTTTCGAATGATTAAGAAAGAAAGAAATCAGATCTCTTTCTTATCTGACAACTGAGAAGGTACGTGAAAAGCGATTGTAAGTGTAACAGTCGAAAAACATCCGAGGTAAAAAAATCTCTAAATTAAATTAAAAAATATAAAGTTAAAGATATTTTTGTGTAAAATATTTTTCAACGTAGAAGTATTTTATATTGCAAAAAAATTAAAAAAAAGAAAGAAATCTGATAATTTTATAGTGTATATCTCTTGTAAATTATAATTTTCTAAATATTAGAAAATTATGAGAATGAGTATTAAAAAATAAAATGATCTTACAGTACATTCGTAATGGACGCAATCCGGCCAAAATTTAGACGCACTAAATTTTCTACGGAGCACGACAGTGACTCCCAAGAATGCTTGACCAGCTCCAATTATGCCACCTGCCGTGTGATAAAGAGGCAGAGGATCATAAATTCGATCATTCGAGTGTACATTAAGCATTGAGTTCACACCACATATTATCAACATATACCTGTAAATACAACAATAAATACTATAAATAAATATAAAAACAATACACAAGCTAATTAACATTTTTTTCTTTATTTAAAATAATATATACAAATAAAGAAAAAATATTTTATACACTAACATTATATTAATTATTTAAATAATATTAGAGAATAACTATAAAATTTTTAGAAGTTAGTTTGTACATGTATTATTAAAAATGTAATTATACATAAATTATATTTTTATGAGTTGATATTTACAATAAAAATTTTAAATAGAATTTATCAATTTATCAATATAGTATTTAATCAACGTAATATATTACGTAAGATATTTATTCTTAAACTGGCGATAATTCTAATTGAAGTTTATTAACGTGGTGTGTTTAATCAGAGTTTATTAGAGTTTATTAAAGTAAGCACGCAGCTACATAAGCTTCGACGTTATGACGTGACTAAATAGATTAAATAGAAAGAAGTATAAATGAAGATAGAGACATAAAAATCAAAAAAATATTTTAAAAAATAACAAAATTCAAACTATTTCATAATATTAATTTCTTATCGCCTATAAACACACGGAAATATATAATCAATAGATGAGGCACACAAATTAAAACCACAATTGAGTTTACAAAAGGTTTATCATTAATTTAAAAGATAAGTATACATAAGTTCTTTTATTTGATACTTTATGCTAATAAAATTCTCATGTATATGCATGAAGTCACATTTCTGACAAGTATTAATGATTTCAATTTTAATATCTTGTTAATGATTTTCCACAACTAATTGGTTTATGAAAGTTCACCTTAAATTATTGATAACAGCAGCTTTTGGCATTCCCGTCGTACCAGACGTATAGACGTAAATCAACTTGTCTCGAGGACTGCTATGACCAAGCTGAACAATGAGAGGTCCAGAATCAATGTTTTTGATTTCCGTATTAACATCGAAAGCATCTTCCAATATCGGTGTTTTCTCAAATTCCGACCATTGATAAAGTTCAACGTTAGGTATTTTATTCTTGATGTCATGAATCACTGCACACGATACGCTTCGATAATATTTGTAATGCAAACGAGTTTCAATTTTTTCACTCATATAGTAGAAAGTGCATTTAGAAAGCGTATTTGCCAGAAAAAATTCAATAATCATGGTAATCAATGCATTTAATTAAGAAAAACGTATTAATTTCTATGCATGTATTTATATATGTTTCCAATATAAAAGATGAAAGATAGAAATTATTTATATCAATATTAAAAAATTTTACGCAATTATAAAAACTTCATAAGTGTATTAGTAATTTATAAAATTGATAAATTTTGAAATTAATAAAAGAAAAATTATCATTTGTTAGAAAAAATATAATAGCTTTATTCTAATCTATTCTTTACATATGAAATATTAGACAATGGTTATTTGTTGTATGATAGATATGAAACAGATGTAATATCTATAATTGCATATACTTCAAAAAATCTTAATATTTATATTTATCAATATTGAAGAGCTTACCATCCTTAAATTCTGATCCGAAAATGACAGCTTTGCAGCCGGCAGCATTAATACTATGCAAAAGTACATCATGACGAAGATTCGTATTGATCAAGGCCGCTACGAAACCAGCTTTACTAAGACCTAACCAAGTAGCGATGTACTCAGGACGATTTTCCATGAAGACAGCTATACTATCAAAATGAGAAAATGGTCTTGTGCGGAAGTAACGTCCAATACGATTGCTGTAATGTTCCATCTGTGTGCCATGTGTATATAAAAGATTATTATCCGCGCAAACACTTCAAAATTATGTAATCATAAGTTTGATCAGTTTTTTGTCTATTTACCGATAATATGATTTGTGTAATTCACAATATTTTATTTTTTTTTGCTTTCTATTTTTTAAGTAATGTTAAGTAATGTTAAGTAATGTTAAGTAATAAATCATTAATTCAAGAAATATATTCAAAATATATTACATTTAATTAACTATTATATTAATTATTATATTTATAGCAAGTGTATTAATTTCACAGTCATTAACAAATTTTAACAATTTCCTTTTTTAAAGAAATCATTATAATTATTATAACAAACATTGGTATTTACAATGTATAGTGATGATAACTCTTATCAGTTTTATCAATCATCGGATTTAATAGGCTTGCCTTGATAATTATTAATGCAAATACTAAATGCGCAGCGCAGTGTACAAATGTATGAATACAAATGACTTATGTATGAGATGTTACCTGTTCATACGTCCATTCTTTGTCCTCAAAGATGTAAGCGATTTTATTTGGATGAGCTGCTGCATATTTTGAAAATATCTTTGCAACGGTATATTCACGTTTTTCCCACCACCAGAGACGTAAATTAACTTGAAAAAATCGGAAAGCACCCCTACATAAAGAACAAAAAATTCAAAAATCAGATTAAATTATTTATATAATTTACAAAATATTTAATTTAATTAATTATTATTTTGTTTGGTATTATTGTTATATATTATTGTATACATGTTAAATTTGTTTATTTTTTATATATGTAGTTATTAATAAACTAATTTTTTATTTAATTATGAGACAATTTAAGTTCTTAAATCTATAAGCATTATATTTATTATTATTATTATTATTATTATTATTATTAAAGTTTAATTATGCTATTAATAAATAAACTTAGAGTTATATTTTTTCTAATTATAATACAAAACTAAAATTACATAAAGTAAAATGTATAATTAAAAGCAAAATATAAATAGAATTACAAAATAAAACAATTGAAAAAATTACATAATATATTTAAGTATATTTATAATATATCTCAAAAAAATTTTTTGAAATCTCAATGAAATTTTTTTCAAACATTTCATTGCTATAAAACAGAAATGCAAAAAAAATTTTTGAGTAAAATATAGGTGCCATATGTTTTTTAAATTGATAATACATTCTTCGTTCTTGATCCCCTCACGTAATACCTTTTTCTCTCGCAATTGGTTAATATCGCTACACGCGCGTGATGTATGTCACGCAAATGCAACTGCTCTATTGTCATTTATCTAACACCTGATAAATGGCAAAAAATAATTTTATAGTTGTGATTTTGGCGGAAAGCGGATTTAAATATAATTACTTTACTCTAATAAAATATTACTAATCTTAGTTTATTTGATATTACTTTTATATAATAACGTGACATTATAATAATGATGATACAGAGAAATATTAAAAATAAGTAAATTACAACAATACAAGTTCATTATTAAACGAGATCATAAGCTTTTTATTTCTAAGAAATAATTAACTTAATTAAGTATAATTAATTAATAATTTGATAATTTATTGTAATATTTATTTTGATTGTATGTTATTAAAAGAAAAAAAATATTTATATTTATTGGGAATTGCGATACAATATTATCATAAATTAATATTTGTTCTTCAAATTGCGATTACAATTGACGCAGACATTGCTAAGCTACTAAAATTGGAAACTCAACTTGATAAATGATAGTTTAAGGAGATATTTATGCATTTGATAATCTATCTTTATTTTTTTTACCGATTTAACATTAATAATTAATTATATAATTTTAATACCTTATAATTTTAAAAACCTTATGAATATGTGATTTTATACGTTTAGCATCGAAGATTTAACTTATTATTACAAAATAATAGTAAAAAACTAAATAATAGTAAAAAATTTAAGCAAAGCATGCAAAAGAATTAATACTATTGAATTTCAAAATATTTTAAATTATATACTTGTAAGTATTTTAAATTATTGACATGTCAAATACATTGAACAATAATTATTAATGCAAAAATAATAATAATTATTTCGTAGAAAAAAATGAAAAAATACCGATAAAATATCTTTATAATTCTTGTAAATGTTTATAGAAAAGAAAGAATAAAATACTTAATTATATTAATTTTCAATAAGCTGTATTAAACATTGCTTTCCTATTATTTATTATTTCTTCTCTTATACTACTCTTTCATTACTTTACATTATATGACTACATGATGCATACAGAGAAAAAGCTTTATTGTAAGTATATTAGCTTATTGGTTTGCTGTTTAAGATTAAATAAATTGATAATAAAATACATCAATTCAAACATGGCAATCATCTCATAATTAAATTTGTATGGCTTATTACTACAGAAATAAATCTTAAATTTTTTGAATAGGTTAATTAAATGTTTTTAAATCAAATGTTTTTAAATCAATGTCATCTCAAATATTCATTTAAATATTCTAGTTATTTTCTACTCAAATGCCAATAAATAATTTTTTACATAAATAATAAAGCACTATAAATTAATTTTAAATAATAGTTTAATTAAAAATAGTATATAATAATTTTGTAAATGTAGAATGCAATATTTAATAACAACTATAATTTTTATCATTAACAATACTAACAATTTTAAAATTTGCAATTAGAGAAAGATCTAACAAATATAATAAAACATATATATAAAAAATAATATTTTTGTACATTTGGCATGTTTGATTACGATAATAACCAGAAATATATTTATTTATTTTTTTGCAAGAACATTGAGTTAATGTTTTATTAATTTGGTCACTTCCATTATTATACAAAAGAGAACGCATGTGCATAGTTCATAATGTGATCTTTGCACCAGATACGTAATATTTCGCGCGACCGATGTAACGCATATGATATATATCATTAAGATTAACGCAATCGGAGATTGCATTCTGTACTTCATATTTATATCATGTATTAAATAATCATTATTCAAATTCATCATTTATAATTCATAAATTAATCAATCATTCATCAATCATTAGTCATAAATTTATTCTTAAAAATAATTTAAACAAGAGATTGAGAAAAACAGTAAAAAACGAGAAGAAGAAAAATAATATAATTTATATTACATCTCGTTTTATTGTAATCTTTTTGTATAATTCATACATACAGAAATATATTAATATTTGATTTGATATTGCGAGATAGAGTGTCCCTGCAAGTCTAATAAAAGCTTTATGAAACAAAGCAAATTAATTTTTTTAGTAACATGTTTATATCATTATAGTGAAAATCGTAATGTTCTTCGGAATTAATAAATTTCAATTTAGATATTAAAAATACTTCAAATTTTCTTCATATAAAATCTACTAGATTGGAATTTTATCTAATAAGCATGAAGATTAATTTTTATATTAAATGTTACAATATATTAGTAACTATTCCATTTAATTCATTATGATTCAACACACTTAAATTTTAAGTCGTTTTGTCGTTTAATATTAACTCGAACTTTGTTATTCAACATAGAAGAGACATTAAATCACTAGAGATACATTAAATCACTATAATAAAAAATACATATAAAGCCTTACACAGTAGTGTTACATATTATAGCTAAACGTTATAAAATAATAATATTAAGAAATTATTTAATAAATTATTATTTAATAAAAAATTATTTCAAAAATATACATAATATTAAAATAAATTAGTGCACAAATCTAATTTTGCTGTTCAAAATTGTAAGTGGTTTATCTAAATTAAATTCTATTTAAATTTAAGCCATTTAAGTCATATCGGATCCTCCATTTTAAATTTCATAAATTAAATCAGCAATTTTTAAAATATATTTTCTCAAATATTCAATTTATCTATACTAATGCTCAATTCTTTCAGTCTATTACAAAACTATATTCCTCTATTTTCAAAAGTTTATGACTTCTAATTGTATATTTCAAAAAAATGACACATTGGCAAACAAAAATTAATTTGAAGAGAAAAGTTAATATTATATGACGCCATTTCTTAAAATATTGGACATAATTTGCTTTTTTTATAATATTTTTATGACTCTAATCAAAATCGTCTATTTTATCCTATTCATTTCAAATATCTGACATGATAGGCAATTTCTACGGCCAGATTCGTGTTTAACGCATAAAATTACATAAGAAACCACTTATATATATTTTCAAACAATTTTTAACATTCTTAATTTCGCAGGCCTGTGTTATATATCTTTGATATTCTTATCGAATAAAAACATGTTTTCAAATTAACTAATATTGATTAGATCATAACATTGAACATATATATTACATCATTAATTAAGCCCAAGATCTGAAGAAACAACATAAAACTGAATAATTCAATTGTTTAAAAAAATTTTTTCATTTTAAATAATTTAAATAATATCTCTATGTACTAAGTATATTTGCTAATACTATATTTGTTTTTAAATATATCTTAGCTTAAAATTATTTCATGTTTGTGCTATGATGTACAATGTTTTAAATACAATATAAACTGATTTTAATTTTAATTTATTGACTAAAATTATTATTTTTAATACATTTTAATAAATTACATTATTTATTATTTTAATAATTATTTAACTTGGAATAAAAATTTCAAAATTTATAATTTTAAAAGTTACATATTTTTATTTAATAAAATTTTAAATGTACATAAATGTATATCACGGAAAAATGTTTCATACATCATTATCTTATCTATGTAAAAATTTCTTTTTCTTATATCGCTATCCATTTTAAAACTAAAAATCTTAATCTTATTTTCACAATCGATAATTTTATCGAGAGACTACTGAAAAGCAAAATATATCATAATATTATATTATTATATTATTTTTATTAATTGCATATTATATTTGTACTTTAAGATTAAAATTTTCTTAGTCTTTACGTAATAAAAAATATATAACTTTTCCTGAGCATAATATTTTGCAAAACTAATAATATGACTAATAATATGATAAAATATGAATATAGAATATAGAATATAGAAATAGTATACAAGACAGCAATAATGTGTAAGCGATAAACGTGAACATTTTAAGTAATTTTCATTTTTCTTCAATATCAATTATATTAATAACTCAATTAACAATCAATTATTATTAGTCGTAATCATGATAATGCAAATTATAACAAGATAATTACTTTAATAAAAAGTCATAATGTAATAAAAGGAACAAACATCGAAAGCCCTTATAAACTCCCCCATCTTTCACGCGTGGTACATTCCGACGTCAAATGAAGCATTGAAGTGAATGCGACGGGCAATCATGCATCTCGGGCATTGAACGCAAATTATTAATCCATAACATAACGTGAAGCACGAAAGCTTGTTTGCGCTCCTGTGAGCTTTAAATATATGGCTATACGCAATAAGATATTCCGCAACGAGTTTGCTTTATTAATTTTTCATCTATTAGTTAAATATTTGTTATAATTAAAGAATTAAATTATATACGTTAATAAATATATAAATAAAATAATATATGTTATATATTACGAATAAATGTATATATTATTTTTTTTATTTATAAATACATTTATTTATAAATTTTTTATCTTAAAAAAATTTTATTTATATTTATTTTATTTAATAATATTGTAAATATAACAATTACAAAGTAATATAACCTATATAATCATTTAAATCAAATTTAACAAAAAATTTTTGTGTAACGAATAAACTAAAATTCAAAGTTTTTCTCATGTTACATGTTTGGATATGTTTTTGTATTTTTTTTTTTTTAATTTGAACATCTTGTATGTATATTTGTAGGGATACTATAAGAGGCATACACCTATGAGCTTATTTCTTTTCAAAGATTACAACCTGATGGTTTCAAAACATCGAATTTTTTTTGCATTTTTTAAAGTTTCAAGTGTGTAGAATATTGTAATAAAGCGATATATCAAAATTCGAATATCTGATGAAATTAGGTTCTGCGCATAATGAAGGAACAGGAATAGGAATTAGAAATAAATATTAAATAAAAAATAGAAATAGAAATGAAACATAACGCAAAATAGACATAAGTAAATATAATTTATAGCTATTTCATATACTTACTTGTGTTTATTGTGCATTATGTTTAATTTCTATTCCTAATTTTTATTCCAAAATTTAATATTTGTTTCTATTATTAATTCTTATTTCTGTTCCTCTGTTGTACGCAGGGCCTTACAACGATCAATAATAGATCCGGTCAGATAAATCCACTCGATTCCATTTATATATATATATATACAACATTTTCTTTTAAAAATGCAATCATTTCTATAAACATTATAATTTTCGAAAATTATATATAATTTAGATAATACATTTTAGTTTACAAATAAAAAAGAAATTTTGATTTCCAATATCTCAGTATTCTCCGAAATAGGCCAGCTATCGGTGTTTTTGAACGGAAGAGGTTTCAAAAATATTCAGTTATTCCACCATTTTTCAATATTTTTACAAAAATACGAAATAAAATTAAAAATTACATTAATAAACCTGTCAAAAAAATCAAAGCTTTTCATTTATTATTTACTCGTGTAAAAAATTTGAAATTTTACCTACTTTTTAGTAGGATTCAATAAGATGGTATATCTGAATTATCTACTTTATATCGATCTGGATGTTTATATCATTCTATCTTCTTCCTCTCATATTTCCTCATACTTATTCATACTCACAGAATATCTCTAGGCAGCGTCTTGTAGAGCACGTAAAAGAAGTGCCGGCGACTTCCGGTGAGGAGAAAGCCGCCAAGCAGCAAGCTCAACGCGGTGATAAGGACTTGATGGAACTCCGTCGTTATCATTTTCCATACACTTCCTCGTCCTGGAGCTCGGGATAATTAATCGAGCGTGCAACCAAGAAATGGCGCCAACAGTCACCGATCAGTCGCGTTAGCTCGTAAATGTCGCTCCGTAAATATACTGCGTAAACCGACTGAGTACTGATACACGCAGACGACGTTGTACGACTGAAACGAGATTGAAGGACGACTTCGACATATATTGCACTATTCGTGTCTCTCCCACGTTCACGTGGACAGAGCTGTATGACGTGAGTAACCATCGGGAGTTCACTTACCATCCTACGGGGCTACTCCGAGGCGGTGGGGCTGATAAAGCTGATGTTGCATGCTGCGATATATTACACATGCGCAAAAGCTCTTTTGAAAAGCTCTTAAAGGCGGATGCTCCAAAAAGAGAGGAAATGTGGAATTACCGCAGGTTTGATCTTACAGCCTGTGTGTGTGTAATCATATATATATATATATATATATATATATATATATATATATATATTA